AAAAAGAACTTTATTCACTGCTGTTTTGTACTGGAATTTTTTAAGATTAACTATAGACTTTTTATTTAATGCATTAACCGTTATCTTAGCTGTGGGAAATTCTTCAATTAATAATTCGGTACTTTATGGTTTAATGTGTTTTGTAACTATTACTCAATCTTATTTAATCACTGTTGATGCTGAAATCGTTAAAGTTATCGAGGGTAGTAGTGAAAATCCTCCAAATATTGAATGGTTGAATAGTATAATTGATGATGGGAGAGGTGATGATAATCATAATGGTAATGGTTACATTAATAATTATATTAACCTCAATGATAATAGCGTTGATCCGTTTAGGGTAGGAACGCGGGACGTACCTCCTTCATCTTCATCAACGGCAAGGTCAACTGCAAAGTATCAAAAAATTATTAAACCATTATTAATATCCACATCTACCGTTACTCGTCGACCACAGTACACACCACCGACTGCATTAATACGAGAATCTATGCTTGGACAACGACAAACTGGTTCTTTTCAGCTTAATAAAGGAAAAATTGTTGTGGTATCAATGCAAAGATTATCATTTTTTGAATGGGCTAATATGGTAACCGGTGCTGATAATTATAGCGTTGATAATAATGAAAATTCTTTTATTGATCATGAAATTAAACGAAACAAAATTGGTAGAGATGGAATAACTAGCACTAATAATTTAAATAATATTGGAAAAGATTCGGTTAGATTATTAGACAGTAATAATTCGTTGCTACCTGAATCTGTTTATATAAGTCAATCAAGACGTGGTAGTGATACTTCGACGATGTCAAATTCTTCTTTACAAACAAAAACCAATGATACTCATTTTATTAATGATTTAAATTACAAACAATCTTTTATATAATTAATTTAAATCATAAACATTGCTAAAATGTTTTATATTTTTGAATTATAAAAACGTAAAACGTAAAATAGTTGTTTCTTTTTTTGTTAATTTGGTAATTGAAGAGATGTATTACTTTCTTTTTTGTATTTATATTTTGTATTTGTTTGTTTTATTTCTTTGTTTTTGCTGTAAAAAAAAAAAAAGGAATGTAACAAAAAAAAAACATTGTAAAAAAAAATTAATAAAATGACTTTGCAGTGTGTTTGTTTAAAATTTTTTTTTTATTTGGAATCTTTAAAATTTTTATCATATTTTTAATCGAGATTCATCAGTAGTTTCTGCTTAAACTCTTGAAAATCTTACGTTCCTCTCTTGTTTTTGTACGTATATGAACTTATTTTTCTTTAACAGTTGCTAAACTAACCATAATTTACAATAACGATAAAATTAACAAAATTAAGCAAAATCTTCTGTCGAAACTATCTGAAACCGTTTCTAACTCTTTGAAACCTTTTAATTTCTTTAAATACTCCTTTAATATACTGTACCCTGCTTATTATGATTGAAATGAAAAACTTCTTATTATTAATGCAGTAATGTGTAAAACCCCATGAGGCTTGGCATCGGTGTTAAAACGACGTGTCAATAAGTATCGTTCTTGATTCACTTTATATAAATACTATAACATGTAATTTCGATGAATCAGGAAAGAAACTTTTAAGCAATGAGCCGTGGCACAGTAAAGGCCGTCTTTACTATCGCTATATCGATATCGATATGTCTTGCGTGGGATTTAATTTTGATTGGAAACTTAACGTTAAGGTATGGATGCTTAATTCTCGATTATCACGTACGTACGTACGTACGTACTTTATCAGTTATAAAAGCTCAACTTCTCGATCATCACATGTTTTTTCTAGAAGCAAAAAATATTGATACAATACTTCCTTTTGAAAGTTCTTGATGTGATACAGTACTTTTTTCACACGGTGAATATGCGCACAGACCAATGAAGTCTGTTGTCATCTCCAAGAAAGTTTGTGATCTTACTTGGCTATTTATAATAAATTTGTGGATGTCTTTTCTTGCTACGTATCGCGAAACAATGTTAATTCTTGTTTTTCATTGTATTTTCGATTTTTTTGATCACGCTACGATGATCATTAAACTTAATTCCTCTTTCGTCCATTGCATTACTATTTATTCTTATCACAAGATAGGACAATAAATTTTTTTCTTTTAGCGAGTACGTATTCCTGTATTTACTATTTGTATATCATCCGATTTACCCAAATTAGGACTTTGTTTCCGAACTTGCTATTCCGTTACATGCTAGAGTTACATAAGGGGGCTTATATCACGTATTTATGTATATATGTACATATACATATCGATACATACTGTATGTAGAAATTTAAAATCGTGTTGTTTTCTTTGCAAAAATTACACCCCTTGCATTCACTTTTCTCTCTTCTAATCCTTCTTAACCACGTTAATTTTTTTCTCTTATTTTATTAATATGCCTTTAATGAAATCAATTCCAAATGTCCTTTCAACAAGTGTTAACCGCATGATTAAAGGCAAACCTCGTCCAACTTGGAATTATAAATTTCATGTTGGTTTTAACCTATTTAAATCAATGTTAACTGCAACATTTGATAAACCAATTGAAGAAGTTCAACTAATAAGTAATTCAACTAAAATTTCTCCTCCGCCTGGTATTACCATAAAAGAAGATTTAGAATTATCTGATAATTATCGTGCAATTGCTCAAATTCATCTTGAAAAATTTTTGGATAAATATGATGATGTTTTGGATTCAAAATGGAAATATACAAATGGTCAAGAATTAATTGGTGAATGGGTTTGTTATAACGATTTACCAAAAAAACATCCTGTTGTTTTATTTTTACATGGTGGTTATTTTTGCATGGGTGGAACTAAAATGATTAGATCTTTCGCAATTGAAATTGCAAAAATATGTAAAGCTGAAGTTTTTGGTAAACCTTTTTTTTTTATATATACTTTATACCATATATTACGTATTGTTTATACAAATATTTGTTACAAGCAGAATTATTTATTTTCATAATCTAAAAATTATTATTGTTATCAGGTGTTGATTATCGATTATCACCACAACATCAATTCCCTGCTGCACTTTGTGACGCTATCGCTGCTTACTTATACCTAATAAGCCCTAGTGAAGATGCTGGATTTGAACCTATTGATCCTAAAAGAATTGTTATTATGGGAGAGAGTGCAGGTGATTACATTTTATTTACGTACGTTATGATGTTTCCACTATTACCATCACAAAAAAAATAAAAAAGGTCATATGATTTAAAAAAAAAAGCAATTATGACTCTATTTCACAACGTAATTCCCTTGTCCTTTTAGTAACATACGGTTTAAAAAAAAAAAAAAAAACGTAGTTATATTACAATCTTTAATATTGTGCAGGTGGTGGATTGGCTATAGCAATGACTTTGTTTCTTCGTGATGCCGGATTACCATTACCTTGTGGCATTGTAGGATGGGTATGTTACTATGTTACTTTTATTCTGCTATATACCATATTTTTTGCTACCTATTTTTACTATCTATTGTTCGCTACATATTTTTGCTATCGATTTTTTATTATAGTCACCTTGGGTTGACCTTACACATAGTATGCCATCTTCATTAGACCCAAATCTAATAAGTCTCGACTTACTTTGTCCGATGGTGATGTATAGACCAAAACCTCGAGTTTCGTCTCCTGCATGGGATCAATATCAAAAAGATTCACAAAAACTTGCTGATGAAATTAAAGAAAAAAAACCTTCGATCATTGGTGATGAATCTTTTCAACGAGATGAACAGATTCAAATGTATTGCAATAATGAAGCTCTGGCTATTCCTTATGTTAGGTGAATTTATTTTTTTTAAAACATATTTGATATACATTCGTTGATAGTAATTACTTATATAAATATTTTGATTATTGCTTTTTTTAGTCCATTATTGGCTGAAAGTTTGGGTAATATGCCTCCTATGTTATTGGTAATTATTTTTTAATCATGTTAACATTTTTATTTATATAACTAATATTATATTTTTCAAACAGCAAGTAGGAGAAGTTGAAAGAATGCACGACGAAGTCGTACTTTTTGGTTATAAAGCAACTCAACCACAAAAATTTAGAGTTCCGCAATATTCTACTTCATATTTTGATGAATCGCCATTTCAAAAACCAACAAGCATAATATTAGAAGTTTATGATGATATGCCTCATGGTTGGCAGGTAATTTTTTTAATTTTTGATCGATATATATTGAAGTCGGTAGAAACGGAACAAATTATTTTTAGATAAAATCTTTTAAATTGAAATTGAAATATCTCAATTATTGCCAAAACAAATATTTATATTTTAGAATTATCCCTTACACTGATTACAGGCAAATTTGCTTGCAAATTGTCGTGACTGATCTGTGATCGAGCTATCAAATTATATTACATATTAAATCGTAATTTGTATCGCAGTTCATTTTATGCCATACAATGATAGTGAAACGATGTAAGGGATAATTTTCAAGTCGGTTTGGTAATTATTGAGATATTTAATTTAAAATTTAAAAAGGGTTAAATACGTATTTTATTCAATTCTGCTAACTCCTCTTTTACTTATTTATATAATTTTATGATTATTAGAGGTTTCCTTCTGCTGAACAAGCTCAGATATCATTTCATAGAACTTGCAATTTCATAAAATATGTTTCTCTAGTAGAAAATGATCAAACAACCGAAAAATCATTATTCAAGGGAGTAAGAATCAATAGCAAAGGTGAAGAAAGACTTTTAGAACAATATGATCTTGATGTTTTAAAATGGGATAAAGTTGGTATTGTTCCTGATATAACTGATTATACAAATGTCAAATTTGATATTAATAATTTCTAGTTTGATAGCTTGTACATTGTTACAGATCTATAATAAATCACGTAATTTATAACTTATTTCGATTTAATTTTTAGTAAAATAAATTTTTAAAAATTTAAAAACCTGATTTAATTAAACAAGCAGCTGTTCACCGCAATGCAGTAATGCGCCAACCAAGGCATCCAACGAGACAAAATACGTAGCAGAATAATGTAGATCAATTCATGTTCAGGGATGGGGAATCTCAATTTGTATTGATCATATGTAAAACGATATTTTTGAAACGAATCATAGGGAAATCAATATTTTTGCAATGTAACAATGCAAAATCAAGATTAGCATAGAGCATAATTTTGGCCGGCAATATAATCTTGGACTGACCCGAGTTATCGGAATTTTTCAAAATGGATGTTAAATTGCCAATCACGTTACCGATCATGTTATCCGAGTCTTTGCGTTCTGATTGGTCAAATGGTATAAATCGCTGTAAATCGACCATATCTTTTGCAAAATTAAATCGATATTATCCCCCGTCCCTGATATGAATGATTGCCTTATACATGTAAATTTGAAATTTTCACTACGTAAAAATCGCATCAAACTGCGTATTTTGGTCAAAAGTTTATTTTAATTCATCGAGCTTTTTCTTTTTTCTCACAATAGTAAAATCTATGAGCAACGGACACGAGCAGCTTACATCAAACATATCTAGTGCTCACTGATCAAGTCAACACGAAAGAAGTTAAATATTCATCATATCAATGAATACGACCAGTTTACTTAAGTACTTACGGCTATTCAATGTTGGTCTTGAACATATGTTCCAATAATTTTGAAAAAATTTGGACATATACTGTATGTCCAATTATCCAATACTATTAATTTTATACGTCTACTAATAACGATTTTTAGTTATCATTTTAACCAACGTGAATGAGCTAAAAAGAGTGTTGAGCTATAGTGAAAACAAAAGAATTTCTTACATAGTGTAACGGTTGAATGGGAGAGCGATAAACAATTAAAGACAATAGTGCCAATTTAAACTCCAACCGTGTACGGGAATGGAAACTTATATAAACGATTTGGGTGAAAGGTAAACTTAAAATAATCAATCTTAAGAACAATTATTACTTAATATGATCCGGGAATGACAATAGGGGATATTGATATCAGGACTATGAACTAATTTTAGGCTTTAATCCTTAAAATCGCTGATGTTGGTGATGCCAAAGGAGGTGGGGGTTGTAACTTTTACGTTCTCTAATAATACTTTTCTTTAAGCGAAAGAACTTCTGGATAAAATCACGTGATGCGGTTAAATGTAACACTATGCAACGATATAATTTAATAATAAATAGCAAATAGGTTACGTGTTGTTTTACTCTTTTAAACTCAATACCTACTATATACGTACTAATTTTTTTTAACTAGCTCTTGGAGCGTGATAATATATTGAAAACACAGTATTGCCATGCATAGGTAAATAAGTATTTGCTTTTTTATTTGTGAACTTTTTTGACTTTTTTGCTGCTTTTAATTCTGCTAATGCTAAATGAAATAAACAATGCCAACGAAATGACTTGAAAGATATTGTGTAATATATAAGTATACATGTTAGCAAAGAGCATTACATACTGATAAATAAGTATTTATGCTCATAATTTGAGAACTTGTTTCACTATTTTTAATTATAAGGATCAATAGATAACTTTTATACTTAAATGCTAAATAAAATAATTAATATAAATGGATGATTGAAGAGTATCACGTATGGCAAATAAGTATTTATGTTAATAACTTAGTTTCTTCTTTAATTCTAATTATTAATATGTAATTTTTTTATTTATGTATTGAATAAAATGATTAATGCAAATTGAATAATTTGAAGGTATCACATAATAGTATATTTGTGAACTTGTTTTGCTTATTAGATTCTAATGTTTAACAAATGACTTTATACTTACTGTATAAGCACAAAATAACTCTCGTGGGCATTATCTGAAAATCAAGTACTTCAAAGATAACTTATACGGTCTCGAATTAGTGCTCATAGGTATCTCAAATTAATGTGATAATAATATACTATACATCATATGTGCATACTTTATAAGTACACTTTACATATTATTTTCTCTATAATGATAAGTGCACATAATTTGATAATTATTTAATATTATATGTAGGTCATTTTCCTTAAATGAATATTCTATAAATTTACTTTTATCCAACAACATGCATTTATTGAAGGTTGACTTGACTGTATTGAATTTAGAAAATCTTTACTTGTTTTGAAATGATGAACATGGGTATATTCAAAATAACATGTACATATGTAGATCAATTCTATTTCATGCTTATATGATATGCACTAAGTAAAATAATTAATGTAAATGAACTATTTGAAGGGTATCACATGATAAATAGGTATTTTATATTCATAATTTGTGAACTTGTCTTGCTTTTTTAAATTCTAATATTTAATAAATGTTCTTTAGATACATGCATTGAATAAAGTAATTAATGTAAGTGGAATAATGTAGTGGTAATTATGTATTATATTTATGATTTGCTTCACTTTTTTAATTCCAATGGTTAATAAATAATCTTTATATTTGTATGCTAAATAAAACAATTAATGTGAATAAATGAGTTACTTAATAGTAA